GCATCTCAAAAAGACTGTCAAATGATGACCTCTCCCCCAGAGCTACTCAAGACCACTCCCACAGGGTACTTAAACTGACCCCCAGAAAAAAGACACGTGGTCTTTCAGTCTCTCTTTTGTGTCTTCTCTCTGGGGGGGCTGGAAGATCATCCGGGAATGTTTTACCCATTAAATCTGGGCTTTTTCTAATTCAGTTTGATTTGGTCTGATTTGGACTGCTGTGTCGGTGGAGAGGCTTATCAGGGTGCAGAAACTTTTCACCTGGGTTCTAGCTTCAGCACTCCCAAAAAATGAAAATGGAAAAACATTAGCTCCACTCACATCACCAAAATCACTCCCTGGAAATGCTAAACTAACTCTGCTGCCGCTCACAGAGTCGCCCCCCAACAACCAACAATAGTAGCGCCCCCATGAGAGCCCAGGAGAGTGGCCCGACCCGCAGTCACCTCTGGCACCCAATTAGTAGGACTCACAACCTATGCACTGACCAGTGACTTGGCCCACGTTGGCACACTTATGCCTCCTGCAGTCAATCCAGAGGCCGATGAAGCCAGTGTAAGGACCGTGCACATAGGCCATCCGCCCATCCACCACGCTGAACACCAACAAGGTTGCCAGGAAGATGAAGACGAGGGACCAGCCACGAAGGACCAACTTTCTGTCCTCCTCCCAGGAACAGAGCAGGTTAGCTGGGGAGGGAAAAAGTTTAGGGGTCTTTCTCCACCACCTTGCTGCATACCAACCTCTAGCCTCATTCTCATTTTCACTTCCACCTCCCACCTACAACCACCTCCCCGTGGGAACTGTTCCCGACTCATCTCCAACACCACTTTAACTCCTTCCATGTGCACTGGCCTCTTTTGACACATTACCAGCTGTTTGGCTAGGAGCCTAGGCCCCAGTCCCTGGCATCTATCTCAGCCCCCAGGCCTGGTCTGGACTTCAAATCCCAGCAGGCCAGTCAGGACCACTCCCCTGGGTCCTTAAGTGATCCCCCAAAAGAAGAACACGTGGTCCCCCTTTCTTCCTCCCGGGGTCGCGTTTCTGCAGCTTCCCGGTTTCCCCCTCGGGGCCACCCGAGAGCGCAGATCTACCATTAAACCTGGATATTTCTTAATTCGGCTTGTTTTGATTTGGTTTGATTGGGAATTTTTGCGTTGTCAGAGAGCTCGCTTAGGAAATATTCCTAATACCAGTCCACTGCTAACCCTAACTCAATGCTGGGCCACCACACATTCACCAAGTCCTCTCCAAGGGACTTCTCCTACCTCTAAGAGCTGCCTACCCTGGGGCCTCAATGCAGTGTGCCTCTCCTTGGGCCACCTTCATTGGTTTGGACGTGGGTTTTGCTTTTGTTTTGAGACAAGCTTTCATATAGCCCAAGCTGGTTTCTAACTCACTAAAGAGCCAAGGACTACCCTGAGCCTCTGTCCTCCACCACCCAAGTGCTGGGATAACAGGTGTGCACCAACAATTCGGGCTCATGTAGTGCTGGGGACATGGAGCTCTGGGCATGCCCTGCCTGTGCTCTACCGAGTGAGCCGCCGCCCCAGCCCTCATTGCGCATATTCCCTTGGTCTCCCACAACCACCCACCCTTCCATTTCTCTTCTTTCCATCTCCTTCCCTGAGCTTAGCCCGGAACTGTTAGTCCCCAGAACTCTCAGTTCCGGTCAAGCAGCCTGTCAGATGCTTCCACGGTGCAAGGCACATCTCCTTCACTGGCATTGTGGGTCATCACTTGCTAATTGTTTTTCCCTCACCACTCCTCTGCAGCAGTGTTTCATGACAGTGGGAAAGAAAGCTGTTTTGCTCTCCTGTGTACTCCTGTCAATCAGCAGAGAAGCTGAAGGAGTAATAAATGAATGTAGGAATGGACGCAAGAATGAATGAATGCACACATGAACAAATGCATGAGTGGACACATAAACGAACAAACTCAGGAATGGATGAATGTGTAGGGAGAACTCCACAGCTTCAGCTGGCTCTGGAATGTAGGCATGTAGCCTTAATCTGTCCTTTGTCTTCAGCATCTTCTGTTGAACATATATGAATCATGGTCTGAGAATCTTCCAAGTGCTCTAGAGACGGGTACTTTGCATTGGTATGGATCTTGGTTTATTGATACAAATTTAAGGTCAACTTTATTATATATATATATAATATATTATATATATATAATTAAGAAATACAGGTTAAGCTTGTAGTCACGTTAGTTATATTTTCTAGACGTACAGAAATGTATTTCAGATGGATAGGAATTCTTCAAACCTTTCAAAGACTACAGAATATGGCATTTAAAATGTTTTAAGAACTTAGGACTTTTCATGACAGTGAGACACATCTGCTCCTGGCAGCTCCAATAAATTCAAGAGGGAGATGGGCATCGAAGAGGCTCCTTATGGAGTTTGTTAGTCATTTGGGCAAGAAACTGCTCTTGCCTGGACTGCTTGATGGTATGTTGGGTGAATCGGACATGCAGGACCCACAAAGAAATGACTGCTGAACTTGCCTAAAGGTGAGACCATCCTTTGGAGTTCATGAAAGGGTCAGACATTCTGCAGGACACAGAAGAGAGTGACTGACAAACTGCCAGTATAGGCAGAACTGTCTTTGAAATTTCCTGCTTCATGGAAAAGTCTGCAGGATAGTACGAGCCTGTAGGCTAAAGATGGACGCCCCAACGGTACAAAATAACTTTGGGTGACTGTCCAGGCAGCAAGATGTTTCTATCAATTCTAGAGTTTTGGAAGTTGCCTACAATGCACTTCCGGTTTACTTAGGTAATATTACATCCTTCTGTGATCTTTGATGGAGTTGAAGAATTGATGGTTATATAGTTTTCCTTAGTTGTGATAATACCTGTTTGTTGTATGTAATTTTTCTATGTTAAAGTTAAAACCTTTCTTCTTATTATTAAACAGAAAAGGGGAGGTGATATGGGATTCCCCTCTGTATGCTATGAATACCATTGGTTAATAAAAATCTGTCTGAGACAGATACCTGAACTTTACCCGGTAAGCCACAGCCTCGTGGTGATACACAGATTAATAGAAATGGGTTAAATTAATATGTAAGAGCTAGCAGATAAGAAGTTAGAGCTAATAGGCCAGTCTGGGCGGCTGGGAAACAAACAAGCGGCCTCCCACTACACCCAAGGGTACCAAGCCTATGCAAAACTTGGTTGGGAAAAATCCAGCACACTGTGATGATAATTCCTTAATCGAGAATTTGCATTTGGCATTGTCCCTTTGGAAGCTCAGTTAGGATGTTTTGGGGATATGGAGATCAACTTGCTAAAGTTGTAAATTGGAGAATAAAAAAGGCCCCTGGCTAAGGGAGAGCATCTCAGTCCCTCTGCAACTGGAAAGGCGAAAATCATCCTTAGGATGTCCTGTGTCTTTTCCCACGGACCCACGTGAACCCATGCCCGTTCTACAACATGAATGTGTGCATGAATGTGTGCGTGAGCAATGTCAACTGCTGTCTCGTCCTTTATAGCAGAGAACAGTGTGGTTTTCAGAAGAACTTGGGTACAAGAGTCCTAGGACTCAGAGAAGAGCTTGGTGGCTAACTGATCACCAGCTCCTCAGCTGGTCTGGAAGGCTGGCCCAGCCTTCTCAGAATGGATCACACACACATACACCCAGATCAAATGTGATAAATGCCACGCGAGCAGAAACAATCTAGATGTCTAACAGGAGGGGTGGGTCTGCAACATGCAGCAGGTGCAGCAGGGACGCAAAAGTAGGCGACAAAGGCCATGTATTCCTCCTTTTCTAGAAGAGAACCCAGGCTGAACTCTTGATGTTTTAATTTTTTGAGACAGAATTTCCCGCTTTAAGTCTGACTGGCCTGAATTTACTCTGTAGACCAGTCTGACCTGGAACTCACAAAGATCCACCTGCCTCTGCCTCCTAAGTTCTGGAATCAATGGTGAGCACCACTATATCCAGCTGCTAAGATGAACTCTTTTTTTCTTTTCTTTTTTTTCGAGACAGGGTTTCTCTGTAGTTTTTGGTACCTGTCCTGGAACTAGCTCTTGTAGACCAGGCTGGTCTCGAACTCACAGAGATCCGCCTGCCTCTGCCTCCCGAGTGCTGGGATTAAAGGCGTGCTCCACCACCGCCCGGCTCTAAGATGAACTCTTAATGGGGTTGTGGAGGGTGTATGTAGCATTTTCTGGTTGCTCTTCCTTGAGAAGAATTTCACATAAGCCAGACTGGGCTAACCACGATACGTACCTTAGGATATCTTATACTTCTGATCTGTTTCCACCTCCCCAGGGCAGGGATGACAGCAGTGCCTGGTTTGTGCCAGGCGGGGTGGGACCAGGGCTTTATGCTAAGTGAATACTCTACTGAGCTACAGGCCCAGCCTTGGCTTTGTGGTTTTGGCCTGAGAGTTTGTTGTGTGTTTGTTTGCTTGTTTCTGTAGATAGGAAGGGAACTTAAGTGCCACAATCTAAGGGAGTCAGTTCTCTCTTTCTAGCATAAGGGTTTAAATCCTCAAACAAACTCAGGTCCTCAGAGTTGGCACCAAGTGCCTTTACCTGCTGAGCCATCTTACTGACCTGGATTTTGCTTTGTTTTATTTTGTTTTTGCTGTTTGTTTGTTTTTAGATAGGATTTCAATATTCACCTAGAACTCACTATGTAGACCAGACTGATGTTCACATCCTGGGGATCCTCCTGCATATTTAATCCTGATGGTAAAGGACTGTGCCAGTTAGTCCAGCAAGTGCTTCAGATTTAAACCACCATTGTTTCGTTTCGAAATTTGGTTCCAGTAGCCCCCCCCACAAAAAAATCTTGCTGGGTGGTGGTGGCACATACCTTTAATCCCAGCACTTGGGAGGCAGAGGTAGGTGAATCTCTGTGAGTTAAAGGCCATCCTGCTCTACAGAGCAAGTTCCAGAACAGGCCCAAAGCTACAGAAAAACCCTATCTTGAAAAAAAAAATCTCAACAATGAATATACCATATTTCATGCCATTTTAGAATGCAGCTTTCTCTTAGATTTTGGTGTGAAGACAGAATTCACTGTGTGGATCAAGCTGGCCTTGAACTCAAAGTGATCTGCCTGCCTCTGCCTAGCGCCAGTATTACCAAACCTGGCTCAAAGTTGCTCAAAGCTAACCCCTCAGAACTGGAAAGCTTAGTATAGTCAGACATGTCTCAAAATTCACCTCTGACCTTTAAAAATAAAAAATTAACATCTAGGGGCTGGAGAGATGGCTCAGTGGTTAAGAGCATTGCCTGCTCTTCCAAAGGTCCTGAGTTCAATTCCCAGCAACCACATGGTGGCTCACAACCATTTGTAATGGGGTCTGGTGCCCTCTTCTGGCCAGTAGGCATACACACTGACAGAATATTGTATACACAATAAATAAATAAATAAATGAATAAATAAAATTAACATTTACTAAGGCCAGGCATAGTGGTGCACACCTTTAATCCCAATACTCAGGAAGCAGAGGCAGGCAGATTTCTGTGAATTCAAAGCCAGCCTGGTCTGCAGAGTGAGTTCCAGGCCAGCCAGGGCTGTGTAGAGAGACTCTGTCTCAAGACAAGCGAACAGAAGAATAGCACCTGGATTCTCAATACTACATAGTTACTGAAATGTGATCAAGTTAGGCATGGTGGCACCATGATAGCAGGATAATAAACAAACAGATGAGGGGCCAACAAGGTAGGGCTCAACAGGTGGAAGCTTATCCCAGCAAGGCTATGACCTGAGCCCAGTCCCTACCATCCACATGGTAGAAGGAGAAAATTGACTCTTAGAAGTTGCCCTCTGCCTTCCACACACTCCCCGTGGTTCTCACACACACACAAATAAACAGATAGATGTGGAGCTGGAGACTTGGCTCGGCAGTTAAGAGCACTTACTGCTCTTGCAATGGACACGAGTTCACCTCTCAGCACCCACAACTGGAGGCTCACAACTGCCAATCAGTCCAGCCCCACAGAGTCTGGCACTCTCTTCTGGCCTCTACAGGCACTGCATGCACATGGCACACATAGAAACACACAGGCATTTATGTATACTCATAAGAAAATATAAATGGGGTCTGGAGAGATGGCTCAGCGGTTAAGAGGACTGACTGCTCTTCTAAATGACCCGGGTTCAATTCCCAGCACCCACATGGCAGCTTACAGCTGTCTATAACTCCAGTTCATACAGACATACATACAAGCAAAACAACAATGTACATAAATAAATAAATTTTAGAGAAAGAAAATATAAATACATCTCGAAACAAACAGATGTAAAAATAAAATCTAATAATATGGGTGCTTATATAATAAACATATAAAAATTTGTAAGTAGTTTTTCCTCTAAAGTTCATCAAAAGAAAGTAAGGGGAAAGAGCAGAATATTTTCTGTTGTTGTTTCTGTTGTTATGATTTTGAGATAGCCTCTGACTCAGTAGCCCAGGATATCAAACTCAATGCAATCCTCCTGACTCTGATTTCTGAAACTGCAGCTGTGCACTGTCATACCCACCTGGGGGAAGAGGATTTCAAAAGTCCCTCTCCCTGGGTAGGATGCCTGCCTGCCTGTCTGTCTGCCTACCTTAGTCCTTACTAAGCTGTGGCTGGGTCTTCCTGCCCCCAGATCTGAAATCTTCAGGAGCAACGAGCAGACTATGTTTTTGTGAGGTTTCAGAGGAAGATGAAGAGCAAGAGAAACAGATAGGAAAGAAAAGGGAACAAGTGAAACACAAAGGCAGAGAAGGGAAGAAAAGAGAGGAACTGGCTCAGAGCAAGCTCGGGAATTGAGGGAAAGACGCAAGTATGTGGAAGGAATTATAAGCTCAGATCTTCTAGAAACTAGAACTCATCTTAGACATGCTGCTGACCCAGCTCTGACTCTCAGTCCTGCCTAGCCCTGATCCTAGCCAGACCTAGCCCAGACCTTCACTAACCCAGCATCACCCTGTCCTACTCAGTCCAGACTCCATCCAGTCTCACTGACCCAGCCCTAACACCCAGGTCACTTACGAAGGTCTACGGTGGAGTCTGAGGCCATGGCCAACCGCAGCCTCTTGGAACCCCTCCAACTGTCATAGAACTCACCCCGCTCCCAGCTGCTGCCTAGCCCAAATCCCTGAATGCTGTCTGGGAACAAAGAGACAGATAGCAGGAACCACAGACAAAGGGGCAGGTAACTTTAGAGTCAGACCTACAGATATCCAGGATGCCATGGGAGTGCCTGGAAGCAGAGGCTGGTGCAAATTGAGTACATTCAGGGACTGATCCCATACTGCTTCCCCACATGGACCAGAACTCCTCTGGCCCCCAGAGCAAGGGGACAGTAGCTCCCGACAGCACACAAAATGAAACCCAAGACTCTCTGAAAATGACCTTCAGCCTCCCAGATGCCACCCAAGGTCATCAGGTCAACATACCCACACCTGTGTCCATCATCCACACTCGAGGACTCAACATCCAGGAACCATCAACATCCACACCTATGACCCGAAGGGTGAGCATCCAGGAACCGCCAGCATCCGTCTTTCTTCCTCGGAAGCTCAGTGTCCAGCCTTCCCCTCGAAGGTTCAGCACTCAAGAGACCCATTCTCAGGGTTTCCAGTCTAATACACAAGACATACAATCTGTTGCCTACAATCGCTGGCTTAGTTCCAAAGAGGGCTCTGCCCTTTACCATAATCGCCGACTTGACATCCTAAGTTCACATACTCTGTGCAATGTCAAGTCAGAAATCCACAACTTACAAACTGACAGCTACCTCTCCTTGACACACAACCTCAAAAGAGAAGCCAGGCCCATTGTGGACATCCCCCCATCTATAACACACAGTCCAGAGGCCAGCATCAGGAGCTTTGATTCCTTTGTCTGGGACTCCAAGGACGAATCGGGAGGGTTGCCACACTACTCTCTGTCCAGTCAGAGTACTCTCGGCAGTTCCTTCAAATTGTCAAGCAATTCTACTGCATTGGGCTCCAGCAGGTGAGTGAGCAGAGGAGGGGTGCAGAGGGGGTCACATTCAAGTCTGCACTTGTATAACTGCATTTGAAACTGAAGGTGTAGCAGGTGTTAGAGGGGTACCTCAGTGAAACCTAAGGGATTTGAACCGATACAAGGCAGATGAGATATGGTGTTTTGTTTTGTTGGAATAGGGTCTCTCTAGTAGACCAAGCTGACCTTGAACTCAGATCCTCTTGTCTCTGTCCTCTGTGCTGAGAATAAAGGCATGTGCCACCATACCTGGCTCTCAGATGGATTTGAAGAATGATTGTGGGGTGGTTGGGCAGTGTGGATGGACTTTCCTGCTGATGCTGGTCACATGATTTGTCACAGAAAGCAGAGCAAACGCTGGTCACTGGTGCCCATCAGCTGGAAACTGTTGCTCGAAGCCAAGAAGATCACCCGGTACCTTAGCCTGGTCCTGACTGTGGCCGGTATGCTGATGCTCAACCTCATCGCCTTGTGGCAGCCCTGGATCCACTTCCAAGTGCCTCTGTCGCCCACAGGGAGCACCAATAGTTCCAAGAGCATCCCCATCGACACCATCTTCTTCATGCGCTGCCCTGACATCTCCTGCATGAATGAATATGATAAGAATGCTTGTAAGGTTGGCCCTGTCCTCACCCCTCCCGAGATTCAGGTCTTCTCTTTGTCCCAGAGAACTTCAAGGAACAATTTCTCCCCTCCTTAGGTACTTGCTGATGCCCATACAACTTCTTCATGCCCAAGAACCTGATGTCATTGACTAAGAAGTAGATCCTACATGCCAGACCGAATGCATCCAGTTCCCACTTTTTAGAGTTCAGTGTTGGTTTGTGTGTACATGTGTAAGCGTGCAGGTGCAAGTGTGCCTGTGAGCGTGTGTGTGAAGGCCAGAAGATGACTTCCAGGGACCATCTTAGTAAGGGTTTTCAATTACTGTGATAAAACACTATGACCAAAAGCTATCCCGACCTGTGGGATGCGAATGGTGGTCCCTGATAAACCTAGGGGAGAGAGGGGAGAGGAATGGAGGGTACAAGAGATGCAAGAAATGACGGCAAGACAGTATTTCTGATCAAACTGCCATTTATTACATCCTCAGAAGCTGTTATATAGCAAATGGGCAAGGAGGAGGGGAGGTGTGTCAGGTCTGTTGGACTTCAGGCCTAGAGACATCCCCAGCTGATAAGTGAGCATTTGTGATTGTTGACTGTAATGTTTTTCTAAAAGTCTGGTGCCTGCAGGTCTCACTAGGCTAATGTCCTAGGTCCGGTCGGGAACTTGCCTGCAAAGGTGAATATCTTACTTGTGAACTTAAGATGGCTGTAAGCAAAATATAGATCTCAAAATACAGGTCTTTGCTTACGGCAAAAAGCAACTTGGAAGAGTTTATCTCACCTTCACTGAAGCAGCATCGGTTGCAGCAAAGCAAAGCATTAGTTTTCTTGGTCCTTAATTCAATCCTGGGTAACTCCAGTTCCAAGTGATCTAATGCTCTCCTTTGGCCTCAAGGAGAGAGAGAGAGAGAGAGAGAGAGAGAGAGAGAGAGAGAGAGAGAGAGAGAGAGAGAGAATATATGTGTGTCTGTCTGTCTATCTGTCTGCTGGTTGGTCATCTGTGTCTGCATGTGTCAATGTGTGTGTGAGAGTCTTTGTGTGCATGTATGCATGTGCACACAGATGTGGAGCCAGAGGTTCATGTCAGGCACTTCCTCAATTACTTTGCACATTAATTTTTTTTTAAGATTTATTTACTGGAGACAGGTTCTCACTGTGTAAACCAGGCTAGCATCAAATTCACAGAGATCTGCCTTCTTCTGCTTCCCAAGAGCTGGGATTAAAGGCATGCCCCACCATGACCACCTATTTTAAATTTTTATGTATGTGTCTGTGGGCATGTGTACATTAGTGCGGGTGCTCACAGAAGCCAGAAGATGTCATCATATTCCCTGAAACTAAAGTTACAGGTAGCTGTAAGCCACCTAGCTTGAACTCGGGTTCTCCAGAAGAGCAGTGAGCACACTTAACTGCTAAGTCATCTCCTCAGCACAAGCTTGGTGTTCTTGTTTCTCTTTTCCCAGACCTGCTGGACCTGGCCTGGGCCTGCCTTCTCATCTCCGGTATCATGAGCTTCTGTGTCTGCATGGGTCTCATCAGCACCATATTCTTCCCCAGCACCAACATGCCCTGGATGGACTTCTCGCTCTTCATCTGCAGCCTCATGACAGGCATGTTACTACGAGGCTTCCCACGAATGCCCACCATGAAGGACAGCCACATTACTCTAGACTCAGCCCATCCCGTCCTCATCTCCACCCTCAGGCCTAGCCCTACCGTCTTACAAATTCCCAGTCACCATGTTGTATCCAGGCCTGAAACCAGCCTCATCTCTAACTCCCATTTCAAAGCCAGCAAATATAAATGCCCAGACCTCCTCCCTGACACCAGTTCTATCTCCACCTCATCCTGAATCCATCTTTTCGCAAACCACACTATCGTCAGCCTCTTCACAAATCTCAACACCCAACTTGGCCACAAGCCTTATTACCCTCCATGACTGTCTCAAGGTCAGCCCAGCCACGTCCATTTAGTAAGTTCGACCTCACCTTGAGTCCCAACCCCTCTCTACCTTCACCTCCTTCTCAGTCCGCACTCTAACCTACCAGCCGTGAACGTCCCGTGAAACTCAGGCCAGACGATTCCCAGCTCCATCACCTTCTTCCACCCCACCCAAGGACATCGCCCACCCAGTCTCATCTAGCACAGCCTGGACTCCACCTTGACATGCAGCTCCGCAGCTCCGTGTTCGGTTCTGCCCGCCTTCCCAACAGCATTTCCTTCAAACTACTTTATCTCTCCGAGTCATACTTCTCTCATATCTTGAGTGGGGATACATTTTTCTTTTTCTTTTTTTAAACTGGGTCTCAAGTAGCTGAGGCTGACCTTGATTGACAGATGTACGTGAACTCTCCTGTCCCTACCTCCCTGCGCTGGGACAACAGGTGTGTGCTGGCACACCAAGTTTATGTGGCTCTGGAGATGGAACCCGGGGCTTTGTGCATGCTAGGTGAGCACTCTACCAACTGAGACCCATCTCAGCCCACTGAGGATAAAACTTTCTGTCATGTGATGACGTAGTGAGTATTCAATTAGAAAACGTTAACTCCGTTATCTTTGTCACCGCACTGAGTCCCAAGCTTGGTGTGTCTGATCTTACGAGCTGGGCAAGTGTCCCTTTCCTCCCTCACCCCTCACTGCCCCTGGTCAAGGTCATATAAATAACTAGGGCCCATCTGAGGCACATGGGTTAGTGACACATCTAAGTCTCCAGGCACATGCAAACGGGGTGCTCTCCGTGGTCTCCTTTCCAGGTCTGACATGTCGGCATGCAGGAGGCCGAGAGGTGAGGATGGTGAGAGAGACAGAGGGTTAGCACTGGAAGCTAGCTTGTTCACCCTTCCCAAATGCTTCAAAACTGACATGCTGGTTGGAACATCTGTTTCCACACATGTACCCAGGTTGAGGGTATTTCAATTTGGCGACAACTGATGGCTGTCCACAACTTCCAGTCACGTCACAAAACATTTTTGGAGAGGAAAAGCACTGCTGAGAACAGAGAACTTGCAACTCCTGCCTGCTGGTCGCTAGCAGGTGTCTGCTTTGTGGGGTAGCATTGCTAGATCATCAATGTGTCTGTTTCTAGCTGGGCTGCCCAGGAATCCCAGCTACCTACCTGCTTCAGCCTCTCCCTTGCTGGGGTGAAGGCATCACACCTCCAATGGTCTAAATATAACTGTTGAGACTGGACAGATAGCTGGTTAAGAGCACACAGTGTTCTTGCAGAAGACCAGAGTGCTGTTCCCAGAACCCACGTGGCAGATCACAACCACCTGTAATACCCCCTCTGGGAGGAGCTGATGTCCTCTTCTGGTCCCTGAGGGCACTGCATTCAGTTGTGAACAACCCTCTCCCCACAAACATACCTATAATTAAGAAAGAAAATAAATCTTAAATGCAATTGTTTCAATATAAGCCACAGTAGGTAGAGAACACCTCATTTTAAAACAAGGCATTTCAGTCAGATAATCCTTTTCCGTCCTTTAACTAAATATAGGGCACTTCTTACATTATTTTCAATAACACACAAAAAAAATGCCCCAGTTCTGTTAAATCTGAAAAAGTGTTTTTTCTTCCTTTTCACAAAGTATCTTCATTTCCTGTCAATTCATATTACCCAAAATGGTCGAATTCTCTCTCTGTGGCCCCAGAATCCCAACACTAAGGAGCCAGTAGTCATGAGAATCATCCCAGTCCTCGAGATTTTTCATGGGTCAGGATATAACCGATAACCACCCACCTTCACAATGGCCCTCACAGATGGGTCGGCAGTTATGCCCACTGCACAGATGAGAATACTGAGGCTCAGGTCCATTAGAGGCTGCTCTAAGGGAAGGAGCAGAGGCAGAGGCAAACGGAGGGCTGGAGGTGTAGCTCAGCTGGTAGAGCACTTGCCTACAGTGCACGAAGTTCCGACACACATCTGAGACAGGAAGAGGTCTAGGTCACCTTCAGCTGCACGGGGAGTTTAAAGAAACCAGCACCATAGTGAGAGAGCCACAGCCAAGTGACTGTGGGCTCAGGCCCACAGGGGGCTCACATGTGGTCCTGTCTATGCCACACAGGGGTCAGCATCATTCTGGGGGTCCTGTTCTACCTGATGCAAGCCCGAAAGTTCTTACAGGAAGGCATGACCTACATGCTGGGGAGAAGCTTCTACCTGGCCTGGATCAATGTCTTCTTCTTCTTTATGATTGGTCTGACTGGCGTGGGGGTGGCCTCAGTGGTGTGGATGATGGGCATGGTTAGGAGTGGGGCTCAGGTTGCACACAGGGCCAGGAAGGGTGGGAGCCAGGGCTGGGCATTCCTGTAGGCTTGGGGTGGGGTAGGGACAGCATGAGGGTGGAGTTGACCGTGGGATTTGGGATGGGGCAGCGGCTGAGGTAGGACTGTGTCGGGTACAGTGAGGGCTAGCCCACTGACCTCTGTGTCTTCTCTGCCCTCTTTCTCAGGTCTCTTCTCCTATCTGAACTACATGAGCTTCTGGTCCATCCTGGCAGTCCAGGCCATATGGTCTTAGGACAGGACACTGAAAGGATATCAATGATTTACTCTCACGGCTGCCAGCTGCCTGACAAGCTGGCCTCCGTCCCTATACTCATGAGTTATGTAACTTCTCGCTCCCCTCAACCCAGAGTAACTTATATTTTAAAGAAAAATACTTTCTGCCCAGAATATTTCATTACTTGACTGTGTGTGCTGAAGTGCAACTGTCATATTTCTCCGCCCCTACCTTATCCATTATGGGCTACTCTTAAGTAGAGGGACAGAAAAGGGACTCTGGTAAACTATCAAAGGCCAGCAAAAAGACTGGGGTGAGGGTCCTGGGCATACACACGGTGCTTTTTTGTTTGTTTTTTCAAGACAGGGTTTCTCTGTGTATCGCTGGTTGTCCTGGAACTCACTCTATAGACCAGTCTGGCCTAGAACGCGCAGAGATCTACCTGTCTCTTCCTCCCAAGTGCTGGGATTAAGGGAATGCACCACCGCCAGATCTCTGTGAGTTCCAGGCCAGCCTGGTCTACAGAGCAAGTTCCAGGGCAGGCTCCAAAGCTACAGAGCAACCCTGTCTGGTGTGTGTGTGTGGTGGGGGGAGGTGTGCACCACCACACAGTGCTTAATGTTTATTTGCTTACCCCACGTCTTAACTTCAACCTTTAGTTCTTTTGATTTCTGTTGTGGTTTTGTTTTTGAGACAGGATCTTACTATGTTGACCAGGCTGGCCTGGAACTCATAGAGATAGGCCTGCCTCTGCCACCTGAACGCTGGGATTAAAGGTGTGCCTCCCTGTTGCATAGCTCCAACTTGTAGTTTTACAATTAACAGCTCACCTTTTCCGAGAAAACCCCAGTCAAGGCCTCAGCTCACGTCCCTCCCCTCCCCTACTCTTCCCCCCAGTGTCCTCAACTTCTCAGGGGTGGAGCCAAAAGTCATCTGCTGAACAAGGAAGGGTTGATATCGAGTAAAAAACCCACCACCTGCCTCCTGTAGAGGAGAACGAGGCTCCCCTTTCTTATTCTCATAGGTCTAGACACTTACTAGGTCACTTACTAGCTCTGACTCACAGCAAGGTTGACTTGGGACTCGGTTTCCTTGTATGTAGAGTAGAGGCAACAATCTACCACACAGGCCCAACCTTCAGACATCACCACAGGATATTATCTACAAAGTTCACATCCAAGAACTGCACAAGCAAAGGGTTGGAGAGATGGCTTAGTAGTTAAGTGTTTGCTTGCTTTCCCAGAAGTTCAGTTACCAGCATCCATGTTGGGTAGCTCACAACAGCCTGTAACTCCAGTTCTAGGGGAATCTGTTGCCTCTTTTGGCCTCTGCAGGTACTGAACCCATATATACACATATACTCCCCCAACATATGGACATACACACACAAAAAAATAAAAATGTTTAAAAAAAGAACTGCACAATTGAGTTATCAAAAGTGACAAAGAGCTGGACAGATGACTAAGCTGTGAAGAGCACGTGCTTTTGCAGAGGACCAGGACTTGATTCCCACAACTCGCGTGGCAGCTCACAACCACCCTTAACTCCAGTGTCAAGACTCTTCTGACCTCTGAGGGCACTAGGCACACTTGTGTTACACAGACACACATACAAATATAAAATAAATACATTTTAGTTTCAAAATAATGTAGACACTTCCTCATGTATTCCAGGCTGGTTTGAATTCAGAACCTAAGTTCTGAATCTCAGGCTGGCATTACAGGTGGGCACAATCATGCCTGGTTTACATACTGCTGGGGTAGAAACCAACACTTCTTACAAAGCTGAGCAGGCACTCTACCATCTGAGCCACATCCCCAGCAAAGGTGCCCATTTTTAAATAAAGACGAGCTGCAACTACATGTCTTACACTAGATCTACAAAAGTGGTCAAATAAACACAGTCCAATCCTGTGCAGAGGAACGCAAAATATGTGCCCACGAGGAAACAGATGGGAGGAGAGGGGATCCGTGCTATGAGGAAAAAGAAAGGTCTTATTTTTCTGTTGCTATGATAAAACACCCTGATAAAAGCAACGTAATGGAAGGGTTCACAGTTAAAGTACAGTCCATCACATGGTGTAGGGGTGGGCCAAGGAGGCAGGCAGGAGCTTGAGGAGGCTGCTGGTCAGGAAGCAGAGGGATGCGAACACTTGTGCACAGCGCTCTCCATTTATACAGCCCATGGTCCCCCATCAATTAACCTAACCAAGATAATCCGCGCACAGGCAGATTATCTGGAGTTGAGGCAATTTGAGAATTCCTTGCTAAGACGACAGATGAGCAACGGTGATTGGGGAAGGAGTGTAATGAGTCTTTCTATATCCCGCCATTCAGCTCCCAAATAATGACAAAGAAACATTATTAATTAGAAAAGCTTGGCCTGTCCTGCCACTTGGCATCACCTCTCTCACATTTTGCACCTCCCAGGACTCAGCCCTCCTCCCTCAGACCCAGCAGCCCAGTCCCAGCCACGTTGTTTCAGGCAGAGAACGCCCGCCACTTCGCCCTAGCGTCCCGGTTTCCCGCCCATCACAGAGCACAGACGCCAACGCCTCTAACTGCTTCACGCCCGTGCTTCCCTACAAAGCCGTCAGCCTGTGCCTGGTCCCGCCTCCCGCCCTGCGGCGGCGACCTCTGCTGGGCGGCCCTTTCCCCCGCCCTCCGCCGCGCTGGCGAGCCCACAGCTTCCGCGCCTGGCCCCGCCTACCCCTAGGGGGCCTTTCTCGTCCCGCCCTCTTTGGGGGCTGCCTCAGAACTGCCTGTCGAGAGTGACGGAAGAGCTGTCCAGATGTGTTCTCCAATATATCTTATGTCCTAATCAGTGATGCTCCAGCGGCCACGGACGCACGGTGTTTCTTCCACCAGCCACGCGTGAGCCCAGCAAAGACTCCATTGAGGGCTCCCTCGGGGCGGAGCCTGAGACGATAGGGGCGGGGCCTTGCGTGCGCGGTGGGCGGGACTGACAGGCGGCGCGCGCTATAAAGTGGGACTCGCGGGCCCCGGCGCGCGCTTGCGGAGATCGCGTGGGACGTGACCTCCGTCTCGGTGAGTCTTCCCGAGGTTGGCCTCGGCGTCGTGCGGTCTGCGGTGCAGCTTTGCGCGCTGCGCTGGGGAGCGCGTAGCCTGAGGTCTCCGTGGCCCGGTCGTGGGCGTGCCTGTCGCGTAGACGGGCTCAAGGGTGCTGCTTGGGGCCGCGGGGGTGCTCGGGTTGGGGCCGGGGTGTCGGGATGCGGCCACTTTCGGGGACGGTGCCTTCCGCCAGGTGCGTGGAGCTGGGGCTGCCGGGGCCGGCCTTCCTTTGTCTGCGCCTTAGCCGGGCTACGCCATTTCTGCTGCTCACGTCGCGGGTCTTGTCCGCCATCTTACCCGTTTTAGGTGACAGGGAGGGGGTGTGTGTGACATAGAATTTTCCTCCCAGTGACAGCCCCGTGCTACCTGCAGGTTCTCTCCGTGGGAAATCTCTACCACTGCCCCTCCCCCGTGAGGGATTTTGACATTTTTGTGCAACCTAGAACACGTAAGGGCTGGAGGAGGATGGGGTGTAGGGGCGGATACAAGATACGGAGTTACCAAGGCGGAAGTGAGTGCACGTGGAGGCCTGGATTGCTTCGGAGCAGCAGGTAGGAGTAGACAGGAGAAAGGAAGTCAGGCCTTTTTTCACCTGCAAGAATACTAATACTGTGTTGGTCCTGATGGTGCAAGCATGTCATCCCAGCTACTCGAATTTCGAAAGTAAACTATATATTTCACCCAAAATATTTTAACCACACTTTCACCTCTCAAACAGCCTTTTTCTGCCTGGTCAGTGCCATTATCACACTTGATTAGACTCTTTCCTCCTGGGATCCTGCTGTTCTCTTTGTGTTCATTGCGACTGCATCTGCCACGTGCCTTTCTTAGGGTGGTTCGAATCTGGCTGAGTAAAGTCCTTGTTTATATCTTTATATCTTTAAAGTGTTTTGTGTTGGTTTTGTGTGTGTGTGGTTGGGTTTTTTGTTGTTGTTGTATTCTCCACAGAACAATCATTTCTCCTGCCAGGTACTTTGGAGGGATTTGTGTCTTTACAGGTTTTGGTTTTCAATGTTACTAGCAGATACAGTCAAGACAGGAGCATCAGAGTCCTCTTCGTGGTGTGAGTCCATAGGGAATCTATGGACCTCTGTCACTGGGCAAATTGGAGCAACTAGTGGATTTTGTGTTTATAGCTTGGCCACCATCCCTGAAGGCAAGTAGCCTTGATATTACAGAAGGTCTGAGGCTCCCATGATGTTTAGCACTGGGCTCCGATCATCCTTGAGGACACAGTGCCCCTCCAGGATCTTTGACACCTGGAGGGTCTGAGGGGCTCTGGTTTTGATGTTCTACACCTGTGGCCTTTCCCAACACATAGACCTTCACCAAGTCCTTCCTGTATTACAGGTGTATCTTGAAGTCGAGTAACCATCCACCGTCATCTCGTGGTGAGAACCTTCACTTTTTGGTCTGTCTACACATAAAAGAGTATACCTTTTCTCTTAGGTCACTTTCCGTAATTTGGATCAGTAATTATGGGAATGTTACATATTAAAGCTCTCAGGAGACCCGTCAGCTAGTTAGTAAAAATCCCAGCCCTGCTGTTCATAACTCCATACTGGTCTACCGGTCAGTGAGCCATCACACATAAACTTGGGTGTTTTAGGTGGAGCAGACACATCAAAAGCTGGGTAAGGTGCAGAAAGGACCCAATTTTCAAACTCGGTAGAGGGAGCAAAATGGCTGTCAGCATTATCATCTGCCCACTGGGTTTTGGACTGGATACAGTGTACTTTTGAGCATCCTGTAAGTCCTAGCAAATCATGTGTATATAAAAAAGATTATGCTTTTTTGAAAAAGAACCTTGAGTTTACATAGGAGTCATTATTAAAATAATAATCAGAAGACAGGAATGTGTGTTAATCTGAAAAAGAACAAGTTCTCGGCTCCAGGAGAATTTTTTCTTGTTTCATGTTCCACTAAGTCAGAATGGAGCCAGCAAGACAGATGTGCCATTGTCCAGCCCACAACCATATGGGGCTTAGAAGCATCTCAGATAGGAGTTGCTGGGGCTGGGTTTTTCATTCTTAATTATGTGGCTACATCTTTGGACAGCTCATTTCTACACAAAATTTAGACTCGGACTAAAACTGAGTTCTTGAGGCCCAGCAGAGCAGGATAACCACGAGTTCACAGCCAGCCTGGGCTGTTGGGTGGAGGAGAAGGCCACAGTATTTGAGGAAACTTGAGTTCCCCAAATCCCACCGGGATCCTAGCAATACGCAGGTGGCATTTTTCCTCCACAGAATACTCTGGCAGCGAAGTCATTGCTTCCCCAAGTTGCAGTATGGAACAGTGATGCTGACCTCAAGATCAGGCAGGGTGATGAGTTGGTTTGGGGGAAGTGGGCCTAAAGGAAAGGCAGGAGCCATTGAGGCGCACATTCACCACATCCTGGGAAATTCAAACAGGCCTGAAACTGAGCCATGAGACCAGGACCAGCCTCTCTCTCCTTTGTCCCACATTCCCAAGGACAGAGTGTCAGTCTTTTTGCAGCAGAGCAGCTGGAAGGCACCAAGTAGGATCAGGGTGGACAGTGAGGGATACTTGTGGCACTTGCTTATATTCTCAGCGTCCCAGGTGGCTGGGGCAGGAGGATCCTGAGTTCAAATCCAGTCTGGGTTACATACAAAAATAATTAAGATGGGCTATGGTAGTGTGTATCTGTAACCCTCTGCTTTGGGAGGTAGAGGCTACACTGCCCTTGGGACATCAGAGAGGGAGTGTGCATATTACCAGGACCCCTGTGATGTCCAGCACTGGGCTCTGACCACCCTGAGGACATGGTGCCCCCCGGGGACCTTTGACACCCAGGGGTCTGAGGGGTCCTGGCTACAGAGGGAGTGGATGGGGAAGTTGTGCTTTCATGCTTCTCACCAGCCTTTCCCTCTCCTGCCAGCAGACGGGCAGTTCCTCCAGATAGCCAGGCTTCCCTTCAGGTAAGCACAAGGGTTGTCTGAGGCGGGGTAAAGGTCTTAGGACAGCAGGTACCGACAGCTCAGGTCAGACTCCACTCGTGCTTTCTTAGCACTGGAGACATTGTGCTGTAAGAAATGCTGTTCGTGTCTATGCTCAAGAACCCCTGTGATGTCCAGCACTGGGCTCTGATCACCCTGAGGACATGGAGCTCCCCAGGACCTTTGACACCTGTGGGTCTGAGGGGTCCTGACTCCAAGGAGGAGTGAATTGGGGGGGGGGTATCATGGTCTTCCTGCACCATACCAACTTCTTTCCCCTCTCCTTCCTGCCTACAGGTGGTTCCTGCAGACAGCCTGCTTCCCCAGGTAAGAACAGCAGGGCTGTCTGGAATTGGGGTAGGGGTCTTAATGCTAATCACATGAGCTCCATTCAGACAATAGGAATGGGTAAAGAAGCCTGACCAGGTTGCTATGAGGCTCCTGTCATACTGCTCTTGGTAACCCCCATGATGTACAGCACTGGGCTCTGACCACCCTGATGACATGGTGCAAGCCTCCGGGACCTTTGACATCTGGGGGTCTGAGGGGTTTCTGTTTTAGGGGGATGCTAGGTGGGGGCGTGGCCCTTCGTCACCACTACTGTGCCCTGTGTCTTTTTGCAGCTCCACAGCAACATTGCTTCTAGCCCCTTGCTGTCCTAGCCTTGAGGCTGTAGGGCCATGGCGGAGAGAGTGCTCGTACCCACCCAGATAGGTCGGGGGGACCGCTACTACACATACACGGAGCTGTTGGCTATCTCACGGCGTTTCAAGCAAAACCCCAATGAGCTCATGGTCACCTGGATCCTGCGGGTGTATGACCAGGGAGGCCCTGCCCTGTCCCTGAATTCCGGGGAGCTGGGGTTGCTGGGTGACCTCACGCACGATGCCATCTTTAACTACCGCTGCAAGGCCCTGCGAGGGAGCGGCTGCCAGACGCTGCTGAGCTGGCTGCTGCAGGCCTGGCGCCAGCGCTGGGAATCCTCCCTGCATTTTGAGGCCACTGAGCTGCCCTTTAGGCCTTGGACCACCATGGAGGAAGGCATCCAGCTGGTGCGTGAGCTGGGTATGATTGAGTGGATCTATCTTGACCCGGAAGGGCCTGTGGACCTGGCCCCAGAGGATGTGGCCTTCACTCAGAGCCTGCAGCGGCGCCTGCTCACAGCAGCACCCTCTGAGCTGCGGCTCTCACTGGTCAGTCTGCTGGTGCGTGGCATGACGGTACTAGAGGCTGTCATGGAGATCCAGACCATTGCTGACGTGGGCCTGCTTTGGCGCCAGAGCCAGCCAGGCCGCACCAAGCTCATGCTGGGGCCCAACCCAACTCGAAAGGACCTCCTAAGCTGGCTGCTCAGCCATGGCGTGCCCCGGGAGCAAGTGGACAGGCAGCCTACTAAGGTACTCTTGGAACTGTACATCAAAGAAGCCAAGCGCAGTCGTGGCCACCCCAGCTATGGGCTGGCTGAGGAACAGCCCCCACCACCTCCCTACTCTGACCAGGCCTGTGGGGAGGAGCCACCTGTGAGACACGACTAGACCTGGACTGACTTCGAGAGCACACTTGCACCCTAGGGTTGAAGGTGGGAAGGTTAATTTCACTGAGGCAGCTTGCAACCTAGGCCACTAGGAAAGAAACAGCTTGGCGTACCTTCCCCACGTCTGTCCCTCCAGCACTTAGTGCCAAGTTCAGTGGTCCCCAAAGAGGGGTGTGCATGTCCCCAGCCACACAGTCCATGTGGGAAGTGAGCCACGGGTGGCCATTTGCTGTGAATCTAGGGTGCTTATGGCCCTGAAGTTAAACCCCTTGGGTTGGAGCCTAAGGTCATGCTGAGGTGGGTGGCCACTTCAGGGTCCCCACCCCTCTGCCTCCACGTGAGCCCCAAAGCACTACATACAGGCCATCTTGAATTTTTTACTTTTTCAATGCAACACTTACATAATATTTTAGGTAGAGGCCACACTTCATGGACTTTTCATGGGTGGTTGACACTTTAGGGCCAGTCTCCCTATTTTAAAGGCTCAACATTGTAAACTTTTCTAATGCAGCATTTTTACTTTATATTTTATTTTGAACTTATGTGACACTTTGGTTTTGGGGAGAGGAGAGCCCCCTTTTGTAAAGACTTTGCTTTGGGGACCCTGTCCCCGTTTTCTTTTAGCCATGCCTTTCCCTTTTGAAGCACCTTCCAGCTGGGTCTGGTGTCCCTGGCTGCACACATGGCCCCTGGCCAATATAGGTCTGGATTTAGTGGAGGGGCGAGGTAGGCAGCCCTGGAGCTTCTGCCTTCGTGAGTTCCTATTAAATGGCTGGTTCATGGCCCTCTGTGGGGTGTGCTGTTTGACTTGGTCCTGGCGCGGGTAGGATCGGGGTGACGGCCTTGGTCCGGGGCAGGTGAGGCACAGGCTTGCTTGCCCACCTCTGGCCTGTTTCCAGAGGATGCTCCAGCGGTCTGCTGAGGAAAGGTGGGCTGGTGGGGGCCAGTCACAGCCGTCGGCTGACCTTAGCCCTCCCTACCTCTCCCTACCTAGCAGCCTGCCTTTGGTTCGAGTTTATGTTGGTTCTTATGAACCAGGCCCTCTAGCTCACTCAGGCTGTCTTGGGATTCCAGGGGATGCTCCTTAGCTTCCTCAGGACTTTGGGTCTTGTACCTCCCCCAGATAGAAGCCTGGCCTCCTCTCAAGACAACACCCTTTGATTTTCCCATGTCAGTTGTGGCGGTGGATATACAATGGGTGTGGGGCTCCAGGTGATGCCAATGGCGTGATTGCTAGGCTGTAGAGGGTGGGGTATGGGTGCAGGCTCATCAGCAGGTCCTTGAGGAACTTGGGTTAGAGATGGGTGAGGCTTTCACAAGACACTGGTTACTTTAGCCAATACCCTGGGAAACCCCTGTCTCCATCTGATTCATAATTGGGGTACTAGGTGACCCTGAGACAGCCCCATCTGTTCTGCCACCAGCAGTAATTGCTTGGAGTAGAGGTGCTTAAGGGCATTCCAGTCCTATGTGGTCTCAGGCTGTAGGCTCTCGCCTGCACAGGGCCTGGGGCCCACCCAGCCTTCATCCCCACACGCGCCAGCACAGTAAGTAACAAGTCAGAGAAGCAGGTGAGCACACGTGTTGGGATCCAGTGTCAGCTGAAGGGGTGCTTTTGTGTCTATCCATTCCCCCCTCATACAGCCCCTCCCAGGGCCCTCAGGCAGCTGGGCCTCCAGGCCAGCAGGCCCAGCCCCAGGCTCAGCACAGCCAACACAGCCACAGCTCCAGCCAGCAGGGGCACCGTGGCTGCAGGAAGAACATGGGGGTTGTGAATCCCAGGCCTTGGGAATTCCCCACTCCCACCCCTGTGCAGAGGGCTGTCACCTGGGGGGCTGGTAGGCTCATAGGAACCATGGCAGGGGGCCCCGTGAGCTGGAGGCCTGGCTGGAGCAGTCAGTTGCTGGAAGCGCCCAAGTGGACAGGGGGCTGGGCACCCAGGGACCCTGAGTGGCAGGGGCGGGCGGGAGGTGTCATTTCGGTAGATGAGAGAGACGGTGACATTCCTGGAGGTGGAGAGGTCAGTAGCATCACCGGTTCCCCCCTGAGAGTCCATCCCACCCAATGCCAAGCCGTCACCCATCCTCACTCTCCATCCTCCTCCTCAGGGTCTCTGGAGCTCCCCCGGAACTCAAAGGCCATGCAGGCGGCATAAGGCGGGGTGTTCCCATCGTAGAGGCCTAAGGCCCCCTGGAGGGCCAGCAGGGTGCTGTCGTGCTGCAGATAATTCCATTGAGGGGGTGAATTAGGACCCCAGAAATGATTCCAGAGCACTCCTATCCACACAGCATGGGCATTCTGTAATGACTGTCCAGACGTGCAGATTGTGCCTGGGCAGTTCTAGTCAACAGTCTTGTTCCTCTGACCCCTCCTCCATCTTTACTGTTTCTAGTGATGCAGTCCCCTGAGACTACATGGTCTTACCACTACCACCCCTGCCACCCATGTAGCCGCAATGCCTGTCCTTCCCAAGGACTCACAGCTGAGTACATGACCATCTTGAGGGGCAGCCCCAGGCGCTGGGCCCGGGAGAAATTGCTGAGGATGGCATCCAGCAGAATCCCTGATGGACAGGAGCAGAGTGCTTATATGCCCCCTTCCCACCTGAAGACCAGGTCCCCCAGCCCCATGGGCCCCACACCTCACCCCCTGTCAGCTGGGCCTTTTCGGCTGCCCTGGGTGGGCCCACATGTGCCCTGATATCCAGAGCTGAAATCTGTGACAGAGTCCTCAGGACGTCTGGGGAGGCCCAGGATGGAAGGGTGAGGCCATGGGCACGCTGGAGAAGAGAGGAGAGAGGGCCTGGAGAGGAAGTCCCCAGTCACACACCCATTTGTTTTGTATGTGCTTGTGTGCGATGCATGTGTGTGCCCACGTGCATATGTGTGTATAGGTTAGAGGTTACGTGCAGATGCTTCTCAGGACTGCTCCACCTAACGTGAGGGTCTCACTGGCCTGGAACTCTACCAGTGGGCAAGGCTGGCTAGCCACTGAGCCCCAGGGATCCTCCTGTCAAGGCCTCAGTACCAGGATTTAGCTGTGAGCTGCTACATCCAGGTTTTTCGTGTAGGTGCGGACAGTCCAAACTCAAGCACTTTCCTGACAGCCAGTTCTGCAGACCCTGACCCTCATTCAAACCCCTCAAAGGTCAGCTCACCACAGTGTGGGCCAGAGCAGGTACCAGACCACAGTCCTTACTGAGAGATGCCTTGGAATCTGACATTTGGGATTCTAGATGGATCCAATGAAATGGTACCAAGAAAGGGGTGTATTATATTATGCCACCATCCTCCCAGCCTGTCACCATGCAGAAGGGGACACTAGTGACATGCTAAGTCACTAGTCATAACGAGCAGCCAGTCAAGTGCAGACCTGAAGTCCCCGCTGGGAGAGGAAGAGGACTCACCTGACAGATGAGTGTGTCCAAAATTTTCCATGCCCTGCGGAGTGGTTCTCCAACCAGTGACAACCCCGTGAAGTTGCCCAGGCGGGTCAGGAAGTCCTGGATGGAGATGCGGAGTTGGGTGAGCCCTGACCAATCCTTGCTTGACACCCAAGCCCACCGCAGCACTCACCGTCCAGCCCTCCAGGGCCTCCTGGTAGTCAGCTGCCTCTGTGGACTCCCGCAGCAGCTCATGGTATCGAGGACAGCTGCGCATGGGAAACCTCAGCAACTGGGGGAGACTGAGGCTCAGAGAAGACAGCGGGAGTCTGGGGTCTCACAGTTGGCCATGCCTCTCTCCCAGCTTCCCCTGTATCCAGCTAAGCTGGCCAGGGGTGGCAGCTTACCCCTCTGGACCCACCAGGGACAGTCTTGCTAATAGCTGTTCTGGGCTTGGAAGCCCAGAAGTGGGTCCAGCTGGCTGGAAGATGCCCCTGGCCCTTTCCAGCTCAGTGTTATGTTTTGCTTTGATCCCCTTTTGTATATGTGTGGTGCTGGTTATGGAACCCAGGACCTTGGACAAGCCAGGCAATCCCTCTACCTCTAAACCATAGCCCTAGCTCCTCACTGGGAGGTTCTAGATGGGTGCTTTACCACTGAGCCACACCCCCAGTCCCTCCTCATTGTGGGGTTCGAAGAGGAGGGTTCTGCCACTGACCCACATCCCAAGTCCTCTGGTTAAACTTTTCACTTTGACAAAGTGTCTCTAAGGTTCCCAGAATGACCTTGAACTCAAGACCCTTCTGTTTCTCCCATCAGATCCAGCCCCCCTGACCTTGTCCTCAGACACGGGCACTGTGTGCACTGGAATGGGCTTCCAGTCAGCCTCGGGACTTCCAGGGGCAGCCTCGGGGAACAGCCCGGCCAGGTTGGCCTGTGCACTCTCCAGTGTGCGGTCAAAGTCTGTGCTGCGGATATACACCTGGGGTGGATCAGGGCGGTAGAAAGGTGCAGGCTGAGGTCAGCAGTGTTCCAAATCAAGAGCTTCAAATTCAGTCAGGCATTGAGGGTCAAAAGTCAAGTATCTGGCCTTAAACTTTGGAAGTTGGGATCACGGGTCAGAGATGGGTGGTGTGTTAGATTGTATGGGTCTCCCAAGGTGTGGAGAATTAAGATCAGATCAAGGGGCTTGGAAGTGAAAGGTCAAGATGTTGAAGGTGGGAACTGAGTAACAGCCCTCAGAGGAGTCAGAGTCAGGCCAGAGGGCAGAGGTCAAAGGCTGGAGGTGGAACTGGGGGTGTTGCTCAGTGACGGAGGACTTGCCGGGTATTATTTGGTTGAAGCATCATCACCTCAGCCCTAACATCCTTATCCAAAAAAAAAAAAAAAAGTCTGGAATGTTGGGTGGAAAGTTCCATTTCAAGCCCCTTTCCCTGGGAGTTGCCTCAGTCCAGGCTCCGCCTCCAAGAAAACCTGCCAAACGTGACCCATCCCCAGGGAGGGCCAAGACCACTCCCATAGGCTATTTAAACTGCCCCCCCCCAACAAACACATGGTCTCCCAGGTTCTCCGTTCCCCTTCTCCATGTTTTCCCAGAGGGCCACCCTGGAGCACTGGCATCCATTAAATCTGGGCTTCTTTTAATTCGGTTTGATTTGGTCTAATTTGGATTATGCATTGGCAGAGAGGCTTGTTAGGCCAGAAAAAAAAAAAAACAAGTATATGTAGGCCTAGAACCCTCCCAAGAAACCCCACCTCCTAAGAAACATCAGGAAGGCAAAACAAGGATCACAGACTGAATCAGGTTCAAAGGTCAGAAGGTCAGGATGGAATCGTTGGGAATCAAGACAAAGGCTGAGGTTGGGTCAGTGGTCACACTGTGTCATAGTTTGAGGTCAGAGGTCAGTGTAGATTCCTTACTGACTCAAAAGCCCATGGGAGTGCAAGACAGGCTGATAGAAACCAAAGAAAAGAGGTAGGTGAAGACCAAAGGGGGGCTTTGGGACTAAAGGTCAGCAGCAAAGTACCTCTTCACGCCGGAACTCTGGGCTCAGGAAGGCCTTGTACCGCCTCCTCAGGAATCGGCCAAGCTCCAGCTGCTGGCGGATCCCCTCCTAGGAACAGAGGCCGTCTCAGCAGACCGTCATCGCCTGTCTCCCAGCCCTCTTCCTCACCCTTTTTCCCTCCTCACCTTGGTCAGCTGGCCTAGGCCTCGAGGCCACAAGGTGGAGGCAGCTTCCTTGTGTGGGTCTGTGGGGTAGGAGGCCAGTGGGGCCCGGTCGCCATGACGGAACACCTGGGGATGTTGGAGAACCAGGTCAGGGTTGGTCTGGGAGGTAGAGAGTGAGTCAGGTGGAGTGGGAGGCTGCGCACCAGAGCCACAAACAGCAGGGGCCCCTCCAGCAGGGTCTGGGGTGGTAGCAGCAGCAGCAGCAGCAGCAGTAAGGGTCCAGCGGTGTGGCACTGAGACCCAGGCTCGGCCATTTCCACAGAGAGCAGACGCTGAGCTCAGCCTCCGTCTGTGCTGTGGCCTCACCTGCTCATTAGCCTCAGACTCAGCCCCCTGCCAGCAGTACAGGCCCCAGCATGCTCCCCAGCTCTGCTCCAGGCTAGAGATCCTGGGATTAACCTGGTTCATCTTCACAGACCCCCCCCCCAGGAGGTGTCCACATGACCGCCAGCATCCCTGCTGTGCTGATGGGGAAGTTGAGGCACAGCCTGAGGAACCATCTAGAAAGTGGCAAGGCTGAGAGGTAGTTACAGGGAACCCCACCCCCACCCCTGCTTCCCCAGGTCTCCCCATTCCTTTTCTAAAACGTTAGGAGTCTCTGAGGCCTCCTTGGACTTCTTGAAGATTCCAGTTTCTTCCCACACCACATAAAAATGGTTAAAACCAACAGGGCCCTGTAGCACAATACCCAAGCCAGAAGCAGACAGACCAGGTTCAAATCTCACTATCACCAAGTTACTTTCTTCTGTGTGCCTTCATCGCCCAGCGCAGATTGGATGAGTTCAAAGCACATTAGAGAACCTATTTGAGAAAAAAAACTGTTGAGAAGTTGTGTTTGCGGCCACACAACAAATGACCCCAAAATTCAGCAATTTGTGTTCATGTGTGTGCAGGAGTACATGCGTGTGGAGGCCAGATGTCAGGTGTCTCTCACCCTGGAGCCTGCTGATTCATGCTAGACTGAGCTCCAGGAATCCTCCTGTCTCAACCTCACAAGCTCTGGAATTACAGTCACAAGCCACTGTGCCAAGATCTTTAACATGGGTACTGGGGAGTAGAACTCAGAACCTTGTGCTTGTGAGGCCAGTGAGCCACCTCCCTGCCCCAAGCTCAGTATCTTAAGGCCATTGAGTTGTTATTGCTCATGGGTTTTATGGGTCAAGAATTGAGAAAGCTTAGCATAGAGAGAGTCTGGCTGTTTAATTTTTGAGATTTTTTTTTTTAAAGTGGTGATTTGAGTCAGGGTCTCACTATGTAGTTCTGGCTGTCCTAAAACTCAGTATGTAGACCAAACTCACAAATCTCTGCCTCTCAAGTGCTGAGATTAAAAGTGTGTATCAATCACTACATCAGGCCATGATTTTACTTATTTTTATTTTATATGCCTATATGTATATGCATGCATGCCCACAGGGGCCAGAGAGGGCACTGGATCCTCTGGAACTGGAATTACAGATGGTCCCAAGGCACCCTGTGAGTTCTGGAAACTGAACCCAGGTCCTCTTGTTTAATACTGCTATCACTTGACACAGGCTGAGCCAGTGCTGGATCGTGGGACTACATCTCTATCCACAACACCTGACCCCTTGTTTAAATGTTGTAGATAGAATCGTGCTGCATTGCCCAGGTTAGCCTTGAACTCACTCTGAAGCCTGGACTGGCTAGAACTCGCAACACTCCAACTTCAGCTTCCCAAGTGCTCAGATAACAGTCAGCCGCAGAGAACCCATGATGCCCAGCTGCCCTGGAGGTCCGAGGTCCACAGTTTGTGAGACTGGAAATCGCAGCATCCTCAGGCCACACATCCACCACCAGCTAGGAAGGAGGACCACTGGATTCCATAATCTGGTGTCCCCTGCTTCTCCCTCTTTTTGAGTACATATGTGTGTTTATTCTTTTTCTTCATTGAAATGTATCACACTTGTGGTGGGGGACCCGTATGGCATAGCACATACACAAAGGTCAGAGGAGAACTCGTCAATTCTGTCCTTCTGCCCTGTGAGTTCTGGGAGTGGAACTCAGGCCCTCAGACTTGTCAACAGGCTACCCACTGAGCTATCTCGACAGCCCTTAATTGTTTTATGTATTGGCGTATTCGCTTAGTAACAGGGTCTCATGTATCTCAGGCACCCTTGGACTCTCTATGCACCATGTAGCTGAAGGTGACTTTGAACTCCAATCCAGACAAAAAGAGCAACAGTGGACCCAAGAAATTACTCCAAGTCCAGCATGGTGAACCAGTGGGGAGACTCAGAAGCAGCTGCAGTACCAGAAAGTCCCACAGAGGGAGGGATGATGCAGGGAGGCTGTGCCGCTGGGGTCCTCTGTGCAGGCACCTCGCAGGCGGCTGTTCTTAGGACTGTCCTCCCTCCGGCTCCCAGCTACTGCTTATGTGACTTGTGAATCTGCAAAGATACCTCGAGCTTCGTGAGCCTCTCGAGCCTTCTTCCCACCCTGGACTAGAGAAGCACCTGCACCACAAACAGAAGTTTCTTCTGTGTGTAGAGGCCAGAGGTCAATGCCAAACGTCTTCCTTAGTTGCCTTTCACCTGTTCTGATGGCTGTCACTGAGCCTGAAGCTCACTGATTTGGCTAGCAAGCACCAGGGATCTCCTGTCTCCACCTCTGCAGTGCTAAGGTAACAGGCACATGTGCCACACCTGGCTTTTTATAGGAGTGCTGAGGAATTGAACCCAGGCCTTCGTGGTTATGTGATAAGTGCTTTACCCACTGGGCACCTCCCTTGCCCCTTATGGAGGATATGTTTTCTTTATAATGCAAACAAAAATGGCTCAGACATCTTTATTTTTTTTATTTTTGGTTTGTTTTTTTCAGACACGGTTTTTCTGTGTAACAGTTCTGGCTGTCCTGGAACTCACTTTGTAGACCAGGCTGCCTTGAACTCACAAAGATCTGCCTGCCTCTGCCTCCCAAGTGGTGGGATTAAAAGCATGCGCCACCACCACCCAGCTAAGGTCAGACATCTTTAAATGACTCACCCGAGGTCATCCCACTACAGAGCTGGGATTCAAACCCACACAGGGGGTTTCTCACCCTGTCCTTCCCTCCTCAGTGTCCAGGCGTAGGCTTCACTGCAAAGGCCCGGGCCCCTCTGTGCACAGCTAGCAATATCTGTGAAGGTGACGGCAGCTCAACACGTGTGTTCACCTGCCCGCTCCTTTGTCTCTCCAGTATCCTGGGGAGCCGTTCTAAAGGCACAGAGCGCTGCGTGCTCAGACTCACAGTGCCTGGCTGTCTGTGGTCCACGCTTGACACTACCATGATGCTCTGCCACCCTTACAAACTGGAGACCAAATTCTGGTTTAACCCTGACGTGAGGACCCCATGTTTCCTAGACCATCGGGCCTGTTCTCCACACCTCAGGCATTCTCTTGCCTCAAGATACCAGAGTCACTCTGTTCCTCCCCTGCTCACAGTTCTCCCATCCCCAGCACACTCCAGGGAAGAAAACAGAACTCAGTGTGGAGAGCCCGTTCTGGACTCTCCAATCTCTTAGGTCTTGATGCTGGATTTGGGTACCACACATGACAGTCCATGCCCACATTCCCTTCTCCCCAGGCCCCAGTGTGAATGTCTCTTCTACCCAAAATGCCCTTCCCTGGTCACCATGGTCACCATTCTGGTCTCCCCGACAACCCCCTCCCATTCTTGAGGCCTCTTTCTTGTCTGACTCAGAGGCCTGGGGGAGGGAGGTCAAGTCGCTGAGGGGTTAGGACCCATGGCTATGAACTTGCAGGAAGTGAGGACAGGTGAAGGGACAGGCAGGGGTGGGGACAGGGAGGGGAGGGAGCTAACTTCTGGCCTCCTCCTCCTTTCCCAGAATGTGACCTTGACCATTGCCGTGTTCACCATCCTAGCCTCCATCTACTTCTTCAACAAGGTGAGGGGAAGACAGAGTGCAGGAGGGTCTGTGTCTCATGTCTCTGCATTTGCCCTTGTACCTTTTCTGTACCAAGTTGCCACGTGTCTCCATCACGCTTCTTCTCTGCTCTAGGCTCAGCAGTGAGAAGGCACGGCTCCCCAGCCCACCAACCCGGCCTCGCAGCAGTGAGAAGCCATGGCTCCCCAGCCCACCAACCTGACCTCTACCTGTTCTACCATCGCTCTGGCCTCTGAGATCTAATAAATGTAACAGCATCAGATCAAGGCTCCCTACTTCCTAAGTCCTACTCCCCACAGGTCCAGGGACTGCAATAGTCAGCCAAAACCTCAGTAGGAAGAAGAAAAGTAGAGACCTGGCCCCTAGATCTGAGTGAGGAGGCTGGGCCCTGGACCTCTGAGTCTGAGGGAGGAGGTTGGGCCCTGGACCTCTGAGTCTGAGGGAGGAGTCTGAGCCCTGGACCTCTGAGTCTGAGGGAGGAGACTGGGCCCTGGACCTTTGTGTCTGAGGGAGGAGGCTGGAGCTTGTAACCCTAGGTCTGAAGGAATAGGGCTGGATCCTGGACCCCTGGGTCTAAAGGGGAAGTTCTGGGAACTGAGGCAGGAGTGACAATGACCTGTGTTCTCTAGTTGGAGGACAGGGTCCAGCATCTGATCTGGTTTTGGGGAGTGAGCAGGAGTCTTTAGGGCACATGGGTATCTGGAGGGCTTTTCAGCTCTGAGGCTGAGAGCACAGAAGAACTTCCAGGGTCCGAGTCTCTACCTGGAACCAAACAACTTGTTCAGGACTTAAAACTTATCACTTCTCTTTGAGGACTCCTGCCAGCCAAAGGTGGAAATCTGTTTAACAGGAGATCACGCTAAGGATTAATGACGATCAGAGGTATGAGCAGAAGTTGTGACTGCAGCAGAGTCAGTCTAGGTGGACATAATTCCTCTTAGTTATCTTAAGGAATACTGACTCTTCTCTTTTCTTAGCAAACTCCTATTCAACAGTTACCACCTGCCATCAAATCCCTTTCTTATATGAGTGATCAGAACCCCAAACAGGGGATCTGTTAGCCCACAATCTCCTTCCTGCCAGCTTCTCCAACCTCTCCAAGTAAATGCCCTGAGGAACACACCTGTCCAAGCAAATTCATTTCCACCCAGTGTCCGAGGCAGTGGCTTCTGAACACGGTATTCACTGGGTTTCAGGATAAGGACTAGAAATTTCCTATCACAAACAGATTTGTGCTTCTAGTTAGCTCAGATCGGTGCGATTTTAGTGAGTTTCAAGCTCTTGGGACCAAGCGGCACTGACGATTGCGCTCTCTGCTGACTAGAGCCTATAACAGCACTCTGTACTCAAATGCAGTGACTGCAGAATCAGAAATAGCCGCATGGTGGCGATGTCGGACTATCGTCCCAGATTCTAATTGGCCTCATGCCTGGGCTCTCTCCAAAGGCTCTTCCCAAACCTCCACCACCTCCTGTCAGTCGGGTGGCCTGTCTCCAACCTAAGACCATCCAGCACCTCCCCCACCAGGCGCCTCTGCTATATCCTTAGCCCCATAACTCAAAAATGGTTGAGCAGCTACACCCTGTGGCTTTTCACACGCCATGCCCCACACAGGGCCCTTCACATCTATTTTGCACATCCTCCTCTGAAAGCATTCCTTCCTGCCTCACCTCAATCCCCAGGTGGGCTTGACTGCCAGTGGTTTTTCAACAGCTTACCCAAGTCAACCTTTACTTCCTCTATATCCCTCCTCCCCACCAGGGCTTGACAGTTTATGAGGTTTCTGTGTCCTCAGGGAGCTATCAGCTTAGCATTTTCTCAACCGCGTTTCTCAACCGCAGTCCGGTGGAGATGGATGCGTCTCAGCTTGGCTGGGTGAAGAGCCACGGAGGGCTTCGTCAATTCCCACCACTGAGCTTGGGGTGGGATGGAGCATCGAATTCTGCCCTGAATGCTCCCCAGGGTGCTGTGGATGGGCAGTCGGGGTTCTGAAGCTGTCATTATTGGGAGGAAACTGAGTGCTTCCAAGAGGTAGCTCTGCTGCCTGAGAAATTATTTTTAAAAAAGTTTATTAGTTTTTATGCATACAGTCTTCTGCCTACATGTATGTCTACAGGCCAGACAGGTGCTCCAGATCGTATTACAGATGGCTGTGGGCCTCCGTGTGGTTGCTGGGAATTAAGGAATTCTTTAAGAGACCTCGACTCAGATAAAGATGGAACTTTTTTTTTTAATTATCACTATTTTATTTCTAAAAATAAATATTTGCTATGTATCAGGATTGCACTGTATGGTTTAAAGATTATAATTTAATTAATCGGTTATCTCTGAGTCAGGGTAGCTGGAACTTCCTATATAAACCTCATCTGCCCACCCCTACTGGGATAGAAGGGTGAGCCACCACTCCTGGCTTTTATTTTTAAATTGCATGCATGTGTGGAGTGTTGTGTGTGTAAATGCATGTATGGGGGTGTCCATGGAGGCCAAAAGAAGGTGTCAGATTCCCTGAAGCTGGAGTAATGGGCTGCCAACTGCCAGACCTGAGTGCTGGGGAAGTAACTCTTAGCTCGGGTCCTCTGCAAAAGCAGCAGGTGCTCCCGCGGGGCAGCCTTGAGAAGCTAAGTCTGGGCAGATCACCCAAAGGAAGTTCTTTACTTCCAGCCATTATCACCTGCCAGAGTAGGACTCAGCCATAGATAAATTTAATAAAAGGTCTGAGTCTCAGTAGTTTACCCTGAGGCAATGCCTGGTTACAGGAGGAACCACAAGCTGAGATTACCCGACCTCCACCCAAGAACAGACCATCCAAAGGAAATGCCTGGCATTCTAACCGCCATAGATGGGAACACCTGCCAAAACACATTCACCAGGACATCCCTAGACAAATGTCAGTCAATCAAGAGTCCTGAACCTCAGAGACCACTCACTCCCACCTTTACTACTATAAAACCCTATTTTAATTGAGCTCAGGGCTCTTTTATTCCAATACATTGAACACGCCGAGAGACGGGGTTTGCCTTAGCCATGGTGTCTTGTCACAGCGATGAAACAGTAACTTAGACAGGTGTCTTTGCGTTGTCCCTGTGTATACCAGAGTAAATAAAATTTATTTTAAAATTAAATTAAGATTAAAATAAAGGCTCTTTGCTTTTACATACGGGACTTGGTCTCCTTGTTGGCTTTTGCGGGGACTTTGCGGATTTGGGCATAACACTCCTAACCACTGAGCCATCCCTCCGGCCTCGTGAGTCAGTGTGAAACCGAGTTGGAATTAAGATCTTAGGACTGAAGAGATGGCCCAGTGGTTAAGAGCAAACGGCCTGCGTAGGATTCCCAGGAAACACGGCAATCTCCTGTGATTCCAGTGTTGGGATTTGATGCTTCTGGGTCACTGCACACGTGATGTGCATGACATCATACAGACAAAACACACACAGAAAATGTCAAAAGTGAATCTCTTTTAAAAAGTGTAGGGCTGAGGACATGGCTCAGTGCTTGCTAAGTAAAATGAGGACCCTTGTCTGACATTCCAAAACCCACATGAAGCAGGTGTGGAAGCAAGAAGCTGGGATCAGGGCACCTCAGTGCCCAGAGGGAAGGTGAACACAAGAGAACCCCCGACACTCCAAGGGCAGTCACTCTGGTATACCCAGTGACAACGCAAAGACACCAGTTTCACAGGGTTGGCCCAAGCTCATCGTGGCAGGGAGTACAGGTGGCTGTGGTGCTGGGGAAGCAGCAGAAAGCTTCCATCCTGATCCACAGACAGAGGCCGCAGACAGAGAGAGGCTCATAGGGCCCGCTGTGGGCTTTCGAAACCTCAAAACCCATCCCAAGTGACTTCCTCCAACAAGACCATGCCTCCTCTTCCTCCTAATTCTCAAATAGTGCCACTCCCTGGTGACTAAACATTCAAATATATGAATCTATGGGGGCCATTCTCATCCAAACCATCAGAGCACCCTGTCTCCCTGTCTCCCTCACACCTGCCCCCCTCTCCCTATCTCCCCCATACCTGCCTGCCCCCCTCTCTTCCTGTCTCCCTCACACCAGTACTATCTATGTGCCTCAAGGGAGTCTCCTGGTTTCTGTCTTTACCCTGTAAGCTGTCTGTCACCCTGCTGCCTGTCTCATCGCGTGTGACTCTACAGTACCAGCTGCTCACCTCTACCTGGGTGCTCTATGCACCCCCGGGTCTTTCTCTGGGTCTCTCTGTCCCTCTTTTCTAAGTCTTTCTCTCCTCACCCCACTTCATGTGCCTTCATTTCAGCTCACCCCACATTTTCAGAAGACAGGATTCCTCCATCCCAGACTGTACCCCGCTTCCTCAGGCTGCCCCAGAGCCTCTAAGCCTCCACCCCCAGTTTCTGGGCTCCTCTGCTGCCTCCTCTTCTCTTTCCCCTTGAGGGAACCTCGAGATCTGGCCCAGCCATCTCCGGATTTCCTTGTCCCCACACACATAGAGCAATGGGTTGAGAAAGCAAGTCGATCACAGCAGAGTGAGCCCCAGAGGTCTCAGCAACACCCACATATCCCTCAACTGCAGGCCGGACCCTCACATGTCCAGGGACTTGAGCAGCTGCAGAAGGTGGACAGGCTGGCTGCGGTGCCTCCTGGAGAACCTCCTCGAGATCCCAGCCAGCTGCAGCTGCTTCTGATCACCCCCAGTGGCACCCCAAACCCAGAAACTAGCTGATCCAGTGCAGAGTTCCAGGCTGAGGGGTCCTGGCCGTGCCTGGAGGATTCCAGAGTTGTCCTGTTGAAAGGGTCACTCCAGCCGTTTCAGTTCCTCAAAGTTCCCAGGGCTTTCCCAGCCAGGCCCAGTAGAAGGATCCAGAACCCACCAGCCCAGATAACTATTTGGCGAACTATATAATGACCCAGTGCCTAGGATGGTTGGAGCAAGGAGGTACAGTGGTCAGCGGCCAGTCATTGGCAAGTCAAGAAGGCCAGATGTGGATCCAGGTGGCCCAGAGGCCGGCACCTGTGGGACCAAATGAAGCTGAGAGGTAGGAGCCCCAAGAAGATGATGTCAGCTATGAGCTGGTGACAGACAGAAGGACAGGAAGAAGGGATTCTCCAGCCTAGGCCAGCAGGCTGTGACTAGCCGTGTCCAGGAGGTAAGAGACAAGTGCCACCAGAGAGAAGAGGAGAAAGAGAATCACTCAGGGCAGGTGCTGGCTGCTGCATCTCCACAGGGTCCTCCATGGCTGTATGGGGCTGGAGGGACAAACAAAGCCTCCACATCAGAGCACACTGTCCCAAGCCTCTCAGACCCGCACCTCAGGGACGGTTCCAGTACCCCCAAATCCCAGTGTCATCGTCATCTTCTCTTCCTTTGTTCCTGTGACCTCCCACGAGGTCATCTTGACAAATCATGCCTTCATCACCCTGATCCAGCTCACCCTGCCCTCCAATGACCCCTCAGTTTGTCCTGATTTGCAGGGCTGACCTCTGTCTGCACCCTCCCCTGTCCTAACTGTCTATGTTTTCCATTGTTTCTGTGAGAAGTCCCAGTCCCTGAGTCCATCCTCTTTTCAATACGCCCCTGCTGTCTGACCCTCACTCCCCAGACCCTCCCCTTCACCCCTACCACTTCCCTCCATTCTGAAGAACACAGATGCTTCAAGGTCCACATCCTAGCCCATGAAAAGCCCCACCAAGACCATGAGGAGGACTCAGGACTTGGACCTCGTCTCACTCCTCAGTTCTCTAAGTCTTGGGTGTCAGCTCAGGATTTAGACTCGGGTCCTATTACCACTTACTCTCCATCCCCTCATGCCCTGAGCTTACCGGTCAGTGGGTGTGGGGGTCTCCGGGTCAGTGTCACCGGTCAGTGGGTGTGGGGTGTCTCTGGACACCCAAACAGCAGCTGTTGTTCTGGTCTTCTCTTGACCCAAAATTTAAATGGGTGGTGAGCTCTCAAAACAGGGACTCAGACCTGGCTGGAATCCAGAGAGGCCACCCGGTAAGACTGAGTCTGAGCCTCCGTTCCCCACTCTTGGAATGGAAGGAATAGCTTGTTTATCTGAGTACCCCCAGGTAGGGTCAGAGCCCCTCGGGGTCTGTGTGTTGTGACTCTACCTACCTCAGCAGCCTCCTGGTCATCACTTCCCTTCCTCCTGCACTGTAGTACCTAGAACAAGCCACACACTTCACACGCGTGCGCGCGCGCGCACACACACACACACACACACACACACACACGTCTATGCACCATGTGTGTGCAATGCCTGTGGAGTCAAGAAAATGTGGCAGATCCCCTAGGACCGGAGTTACAGAAGTTTGTAAGCCACCATGTGGGAGCTTGGAACTGAACCTGAGTCCTCTGGAAGAGCAACCTATGCCCTTAACTTCTGAACCACCTCCCAGCCCCAGATACTATTATCTTAACACCTAGACTACATGAGACCTTGGGTGAACACAGTTGGTGGAGCACTGGCCTAGCTAGCAGGAAGCCCTGGGTCCCAGGGCTTAGTGACACAGGCCTGCAATTCCAGAACTTGGGAGGTACAGACAGGAGGATCAGAAGTTCAAGGTCATCCTCACCTATATAGCAGCTTTGAGGCCAGCCTGAGCTATATAAGATAAGGGGAGGAAGGAAGGAAGGAAGGAAGGAAGGAAGGAAGGAAGGAAGGAAGGAAGGAAGGAAGGAAGGAAGGAAGGAAGGAAGGAAGATGGCTTAGCAGGTGAAGATAGTTGTCCCAGAACCTAACAGTCTGAATTGGATCCGGGGAAACCACAAGTTGTCCTCCCACTGACACACAAACACCACATAATTTTACACACACACTCCCAGTAGATAAATGCAATTTTTAAGTTTAAATTTTGATTTTATATTTATGTGTTTTGCCTGCTTGCATTTCCCCTAAAAAGGGGAGGCCTGGAGGGCATTGGGTAGGCTAAGGTGGGTGGGTGCGATAGTGGTGTTGGAGGAAGTGGGTGGCGGGTTAAACCAGGCTTTGTCTTGGGGTTGCTGTGGGAAGTGGGGGAGGGGACAAGGAAGGAGATGGGTGTAGAATTGAGCCTCAGTCAGCTCCCACCTTTCCCCTGCACTAACCTGCTCTTGCCCATCAACTGCTCTGGGCTCTCCAGCCAAAGGCTGCCTCCTCTGCCCCTAGATCCAGCCCTGTCTCCTCCTGTTCTGCTCACCCACTCATGGGCCCTAGAGGCACCTTTTTGCCCTCCAGTCCTCTCTGCTCACAGACCTCACACAACTCCCCCCCCCCCATGAGACAAATCCCACCCCAACCCTGTCCCTCCCACCCCTGCATCCCTGTCTGTCCTTCCTGGCCCAGCCTCTGCTCAGACACAGGATGAGAAAACGCAGGCAGGCTACGAGGGAACAGCCATAGCTGTGCTCCTGTTCTCAGAGCAGGTTCCACATTGGGTGGGGAGATGTCAGGGGACCAAGAGCTTGTGACAACTCTTTCCCAACAGGGGTGACAGACTGTCTCCTCTGGCTGAGAAGATAAAAACAGCCCAGACTTGGGGCTCTGCCTCCCCTGCCACCTCCTGGGAGAGATGCACAGGAGGTGTTAAAGGGCAAAGCCTCCCTCCACAGGACAGGTCTGTGTACCTACCGTGTGCTAGGTCAGTGCTTGTGAGAAAGGAGAGTGTGAGAAGTCAGGGGCTCTCCAGCCCAGCAATGGGCTGCTGGGTGATACTAACTCCTCCTCTAGCTGTCAGGCTCTTCCTCGAGAATATTAGCACCACCCTAAGATATTGGCTCCTCCCTGACTGTCCACCGTCTACCTGACAGGTGTCCTATGAACTTGATTCCGTGTATTAATTTGAGTCACACCCTCCTCGCTATGTGACCCTCAGTAAGCAAGTGACTTAATCTCTCTGCTAACCACCCTCCTCTGTGACAAGAGGGTCAAGGTGCTCGCTCCACAGCTTACAGGCACACAGACGGCTGCCTGGGGCCTGGGACTCAGGATGCAGTGAGCATCTTTGAACATCATTGTCTGACAAAGGAGTCATCTTCTTATGGGGATCTCATTAGAGATGTTCAGGTCCACTGACAAAGGGCAGCAGACCCAGGAAGGTCCCTGTGACTTCTGCAACCACAGAGAGGAGTCATCAGGAAGCCTTGATGACTCCAGAGGAAGGCAGATCCAAGACTAACAGGGTGGCTAGGCAGAAGGGACCCATGGGATACAAGGAAGTGGGAACAGTGGGAACTGAGGGGGTGGGGACAGTGGGATCCCAGGGAGTAGGGGCAGTGGGAACTGAGGGAACTGAGGGGATGAGGACAATGGGAACTGAGGGGGTGGGGACAATGGGAACTGAGGGGGTGGGGACAGTGGGAACTGAGGGGG